TTTCCCACCACCTTTCGGGACCACTCAGGTACTGGCGTTGTTTTTGCCCAGAATCGATAGCCGTTTTTTCTAATTGCATTGAACATCTGTTGTGGAGGATGAAATTTTTTTCTACAACGGCATTTGAAACTGGTTCGGTAAAAGAATTTTACGTGTCCTTCAACTCAAGGCATGTTCAGCATTTTTGTGCTCACTCAGCTCTTGTTAAATTTCAAGGCATTCCAACTGAGTGTGAAGGGAAGGAAAACGCCCTTTTCAATAGTTGCTTTTTCGCTCGATAGAGTTACTGGAACAGCGAAAGGCTCGAAATTTATGAAGAACGGAGGAACACTGTCTCTTAGGACGCCTCAAAGACAGTCCTCTTAACCATTCGCTAGGCCGTCTTTTCTTTGTAAATGTAGTTTGTCAGCAAGCAATCTAAATAAATTCCACTTTTCGGGACTTCCACATAGAGTGAATGGTGCCCCGTCGTCATAGACCTGATCTACTCAGTTGAACCGTCTATCTACGAACCTCCTCTCTAAAGAGTTAACGTAGGGGCACTAATTTGTTCTCAGTTGGAACGGCAGGCATAAATTCGAATTGCGTGTCCACTTTCGCTGACCGCGATCGTGCCCATAAGTTATTCTGCTCTCTTTTAAGACTTTTTTTTCTCATTAGGAGCATATACAATCAACAGCAGGTCGTCTCGCAAGACAAGTCCGTCCAATCTAACCAATGATGCAGTCGCACTGGTTCAATAGTTCGTCAGCAGTGCATTCCCTAAATCCGAACTTTGCACAAGACTCACTCGAATTATGTTCTCTAGCTATGACACCGCAACGTGTTTTTTCTTGAATGGTATTTAGCTCTACTTGACGCGATGTAACTATAAGTGAGCCACAGGCAGCAGGATGAGGCAGGGTATTTTGGCAAATGTCTGAGAAATAGTAGCAGGGGTGCTTTATAGTATGGAAACGTCTTCAGGGTGGGGCCGAAAACTTGGAAATATAAATGGCCAAGACTGTGAAAAGCGCGTTGTGCCTGTTTGACAAGCCATTTTTGGAGCGATTTTGAGGTGGCGAAGTGCCAGACACCGCTTTGATATATAGCGGCGTGCTAATTCGTATATCCATTTAGTAATAATCAATGTATTCCATCTCAATTTTTATTTCGAAAATAGAGGCGATAAAGAGTAAACCGGCGTCGACTTGCGCATTTTTGGCGGCGTTGCCATGTAGGGCGTCTGGGTCGGTAAATAATTCCGAATTTGGTTGACTGCTATAACGGTGCCTTTCTTGTAAGATATGTGCCACATAGCGCTCACTAAGGGGTCAAAATATTTTCGTGTTGACCGCTGCGATCCATGTACGCCTTGACAGTCCTCAATGCCATTTGCCTTTAAACACCTAAGTTAACAATATACTCCTTTTCATTGCGGACTGTCGGGCGCATCAGCCAGTAGGAGTGCGCACACTGTTTGAAGCCGTTCTCAGCCTTTTCGTTGAAACGCGTATGCGACAAAAAGTGGTAGAAAACGAGTAATACGAAGGATATAATGCTGTTATGTCATTTGATCGCTTCAACAACTGGTGCAGAAAGACTTTGGAACCGCGGAAAACGCAGCCGCACTGACCCGCCCCGACAGTCCGTAATGATGAGGAGAGTACCTGAAGCACTTCCAATAGCGAGCCCTTATAGGCGCTGAAACGTTAATCACTAGCTGGCATTTGCGAACTCTTGTGATGCTCTTCACGAGCACACTCAGGAACAATAGTTCCGCTTCTAATATTGCCGCGAAATGAGGGCCCAAAAAATCGTTCCATTGTATAAGAACAAAGAACTCCTCAGCGATCAATTTAGTCATTTCCGCAGAGCGCTTCCCAGCCTTCTTTTCAGTTCCCATATCTTTGCTCTTGTATATCGTGCTCCAAATTTTTCGGTATTTCACCTTATTTTCTGTGCTGGTCCTTTTATTTCGAAATATTTCGATGTATTAATAACAACTCATTGTGATTTTTTTGGAATGCCGTGAAGTAAAAGAAGGTGCCCTCCATGGAAGTCAACCATTCCGTCTCTGGAATGACCTGCATAGTTCACCGCAGTAGTGGATGTGTGATATTTTAAGGCAGTAACTCATTGCGTTATTGAAATAAAGTTAAAAGCCGCGTATTGTTCAGCCACGGTCTTCACTCTGGTAGGACCTGGGTTATTATAACTGTTAGGTTTTGTTTACCTCGCATAACTAAGGAGGTTGCATGGCAATTATATTGTAGAGAAACCTGCATGGATTCTGTTTGCAAGTTAATTTAGCTTTTACCCTGCTAATCCCTATCATTTGCACTGTCAGCACTGCTGGCTTTCTGACCACATACTGTCAAGAAACTGTACTGCATCGTCTTTGGTAACGAAAGCACTGTCGTGTCTGGGAAAAAATAGTTGCAAAATGTGACTGTCCGCGGTCCACAAACCATCGCGAGCAGGCACTTTCCCATCGTAAACCATAGGTAGCCTGCAATCCGCGCACAGACGCTGCGTGGACCGTCCACGCCGTCCCAATGCCCTTAGAAATGAAGGGTCAGTAGAAATTGGTACGCTCGACCTCGTTAATGACTTGTCTCGCACCTATGATTCGAGGCATAATTAGCGAGGTGCGAAGCGACCTCATTAAGCCGAGGCACGTTAGCCGAGGGGCACGAGCTTCCAAAATCGGCACAAATCGAGTGAAAACTCCCAACAGATTAAGGTTAAGGCTTACGAAGAAGAAAAAAAAGATTGAGGTGAAGGCTTACGAAAAAGTAGTACGATAAGGTAAGGGGATAAGGGAGAACGCTAGGAGCATTACGAAAAGAGTACATGGAGAGGAAAGAGAAAATATCTGACGAAATGGCGCAATAGGACCACTTTTACCCACTTCACCGAAAATTTTCCATGGATTCGTGCCTGGATAGCTCAATGCTTCTCCTCTTACCGGGGCCAGCCGAAGTTAGCGCGACGTGCCTCGGCTTAATCGCTCGCACCTCGCTAATTAGTGCCTCGAATATAGGTGGCGAGACAAATCATTAACTGAGTCGACTAACGCAATTTCTAACCATACTCCAAAGTGGGCTCTTGTAGGAATAGGAATGGGTTGCTCCTGGAGGGTAGGAAATTTCTATCGGAGACCCCGCCCACGCTGCAGCGCGGCCAGCCACACGCCTAACCATAGCTGAACACGCTACTTGTCTGCGTCCTCAAACGTCTGCTTGTCCTCTGCCTTTGATGTCTGCTGCGGGATGCTGGCATTGACGCCAGCTCGGGGTCTTGAAGAGAGCGCGAGCAACAACATCGAGCTATCGCTATCCTCTAACTTCATTTCCGCGAGTTTTCCAGTGACAACATTGTCACGCTTGTAAATTTGCCAACGTCTTTAACGATACATGGGAGGGGTTTATGAGTAGATAAGTTTATCGTATAATGTCCTTCAAATGTCTATTGTACATCTGGTAGCAACATCAAGACAGTCCGAGTGACCTAGCGAGCGCTATTACCCTTTTATTTCGATTGGAATTACATCTCAAGATATGACAGCATAGCTATTTGGATTGTTTTGATTGCTTCCGTTTTTTAGAGACTTCTCGGAACAAGAATCCATGTGTTGAAAATTCTTTTGTCCGTTCGAAATGACATGACATTTTCTTGACGATCAAAAACGCATTCCTCGGGCTTAAATTATGAAAATATCTTTTCAGGATATTCTAGGATTTTTTCATGTACAACGCGGTGACAACACGGAGTAATATGAACCAGACCATATCCTTCTATCATAGCAATTCATATAGAAAAGTGAGTTATGCTACTATTTATGTGTTTTTCACCTGAGCCTAAAGGTATGATAATTGTTGACTGCCGTAGACAAGAATAATTTGCATTATGCTTATCAGGGCTACTTATGCTTGGTTTTTTATTTTAGTCATTTTTTTCAACTTTTTTCTGCTTTTCACATGCACAAAAGGACAGAGTTCTCGCCGTTGATCAACACTGTTTCGTATACGCCCCGCGTATCACTTCCTTTCAAACTGTGTCGACTTTCGAAGGCACAAGGCACGATAATTTGGTACTTGCTCAACATAGTAGCAGGCGTGCTATGTGGTGGGAAACTGACGAAAAAGCAATGGTAAAGAGCCAAAAACGTGCGAAAAAATCTTTGTTCTGCGCGGCATTGGACGAGCATTTTTGGACGAGTTTCCCGTGGCATCGTGCCAACAACCGCTTTGATAGATACGGCTGCACTTATGTATTTATATATCCTGCAACAACGTTTCACATCAATGTACTTTATAAATGAGGTGGTAAGAGTACGAGCGTGACGTGCGGCCAGGCGCTTGCGCCGAGCATCCTGGTCGGCATGTTGCAGACTGACAGAGCCCTATAAGGGCACCTTTGTTGGAAAAGGCGGCTTCGGCACCTGATGCTGCAAGCGCCTTGCAGCCCTCAGGTGCCGAAGCCGTATACTGTCCTGCTAGCGTATTGATCCTACTCGGCTTGTGGATTTATCGTGCCGCTTTAAATAGTTAAAGGTAAAATGGTACCAATTGTTCGACCCCGGAGGCTCGAGTGGAGCCTACGTGGCCCATCCAAGATTTGACCCTCGGACAGTGTGCGTGGTGAGCGATTTGGCGAACAGTCTTGTTCGCTGCGGGTGATGGGGCGTGTCAAGGCGGGATGGGTTTGGCGTGGGTCCCACCCCATTTTTTCTTTTTTCGGCAAGGGAAAAAACTGTATAGTATCGTTCACATCAGTCGTTTTCCAGCAGTTCTTACTCCTTTCAACAAGTGGTGTGGAAAGGGCCAAACCCAACCTCACTGACACGCCCATGGCGCTCACCCGTGGCCAACAAAACTGTGCCACAACACTACCTTGATTTCATTTATTGATTTTATGTTGCTTGTTGTGTGTTTATTTATTTACTCGACGCGGTCGTATGCGCGCTACTACAAATCATTGGTACTAACAATAAGCACAGTGTAGACGTGAAACTAATGCCTTTGAAACAGATGATAGGAAATGGATGTTATAGGTGAGGAACTTCCAGTCAGAACAGCGGAAAGAAGTCATGGGAAGGGGTCCTATTCAGGGAGCGTAAGAGGAGGAGTCAAGCAGCAACGAAGAGATCAAAGGTTCAAGTTCCGCTAAGCTACGGAGATCAAAATTACGCTGTAGGGAACCTGAAGACGCGAAAACTACTGCAAAATAAGAATAAATAACTAGTACTATTTTCGTTAGCATGAACTCTTAGTTAATGATGAGAAGTACTAGCACTAGAAGTACCCGTAAGTAATTTATGGACCTTTATGCAACCTATTAACCCGCCTGTTTGTATGGACAAGCTTTCCTTGGGAGGTGCACCTTTCCACCATCGCTGCATGAGAGCCTAATGCATGGCGCTCGGAGATGAGGCCAATCGGGCGCCAAACGAACCATTTCCTATTACTCTTCTTGATGAGATGCGTTCTAGGAGCGCAGTTAGGTTTTTGGATGAATTCGCTTGCAATGGCAGAAGAAGGAAGAGTTTTCCAGCGGCTGGGCACTTCCCTGAAAAAGAGTCCAACGAAAAACCTTGTAAACGAACCTCAAGAAAAGCTAAATAGTCTCCTAAAAGGAATCTTTTCCCTTCATAAGTATTCGTAGCTTCGCAAACGGTCTCATGCGTTCTTACACAAAGACATTTATGGTCGCTGAAAGCACAGAAATTTGCATGTAATATTCATAATTCTCGAAAAGTCCCCAACTATGCACATCTCTTGAAATAAAAACCATTCAGGACTCACAGTACTAGTAAGAAATATTTCTTGAGCGATCCGATATAGTTACGAGGCCTGGTTTATCTGGCCAAAATTTTAGCAGTAATTCTTCTTCAGAGCCTGCTGCCTTTAACTGTTGCCCTGTCGAGATTGATGATGAGTAGACCTTTGTCATTTCAGTACTTTTTGAGAGAAGTTATCATCCCTCCTACCTTTCTCTTTCTCCCAAAAGTCTACATTAGGGAAGTTCGGCGTGTTTTAAAAATTGCTTCTTCTGTACTACCCTGACTGATAATCTGCTCCAAGGCAATGCGCGTAAGGCAACCGCGCGCTTCTTCGATGGTGTCCGAAAGTCCGTAAGTTACGTAGAAATCACTTCCTATCGCTTACTCCTTTTCTGCTTCGTTATGGCATTCTACTTCCAACAACAAATAATCCGTCTCATTTTCTTAGACTGTGCCTCTTTTCCAAGACGTCATTAGCGGTTTTGTCAACCTCATTCTTCAGTGAGAAGTCAGTTTCCAATTAGCATCCCTTCAGAATCTTCTCGACAGCATTCATATTTGAGCCAGAAGAGCCCGAATTGTAAAAGACCTGCGTCGAAGTATTCGTAAGCACATTTGGGATACTGCGCCGAAAAATCAAAAAAGATTTCACTCCCTGCAGGTCTAATGCGACACGCTTGATTTTCTCACAGTTGTGCGTTCTATGGATTTCAATTGCTTGATTTTATGGCTTAAAGACAGCCCCGCGCTCGAGTAATTTTTGGTCGTCCTTCCTTGTGCAAGTAGTTCAGCCCCAAGCTAAGAGACTGTCCACTCTCGCGACTCCACAGCGAGCGAGGAGCGTGCTACAGCCACCCACAGTTCTAGTTGGACCGCCCACTTGCTAGATGTCCTCTACACGTCTGACGCGGGGCCGCTAAGTTGTTCTTTGTTGGGTCGGCGGTCATTAATCGGAACTGGATGTCCATTTTCGCTGATCGCGCTCGTGCAAGTAATTCTGCTCCCCTTATCACGTTTCATTCCTTAGGAGCATATGCAGTCAACTGCAACCTATCTCGCAAGGGAGAACGCGTTAAAATCACAATTTTTGTGCAAAAGCTCGACTGCATTGAAAGATGCACGCCTCCTTAATCCTAAATTCGTACGCAGAGTTTTTGAAAGTTTCTTTAGACTTTCGTCGGACTTCTATTGTTTTCGTGTTCTTTTCCTTGCATTAGATGGTATCTTCTACTGGGAGATGCGAAAAACGATTTGTGAGCCAGGGGTTGCACAGAGACCGCAGGGCGGTGTGACTGTCAGGAAGCGATTTTGTTTATGGTGTCTTGGATACTTCTTGCTTTTTTCTTCTTTGAGAAATTACTTATCGGCTGATTCATAATTGAGCAACACCTATCCATGACACATCATCGCGGGAACTGCCTCTAATTCATGAAGCACTAAATAAGTCAACACAAGCACAAGTGTACAGTAACACCCGATGGGTTGGGAGTTCTGATCAAGACGTTTTCCCAAATTAAATCTTTTCTGCAAGGGAATATTTAGGCAGGTGCTCTGCAAACAAAGTAGTAGAGGAATGCATATGCGCAGGATTCCTGAAAGAAATGTTCGGCGCTGCAAAGCCCTATTCTGCACTTGTTCTTCGCTGAATCTGAAGGTCGCTGACGGCGTCTCATTCGTTTAGAGAAATCTAATCGACTTCTTCTGCCTGGAGGGCCTGGACCAAGAGTCAACATTTCACCTCGTCGTTTACGCGTATGAGCCGCATTTCTCTCCGTATAGTTTCTTATTTGTGCTGCTGAGATGTTCTTCCAGGTTCGATAAGTTCATTTTCCGCATTCACATGATGCTTCGCTATGTAATATTCAATCTAAATCAGTTTATTGCAAATAGTACTAGTTGAGTAACGATTTTCCACAGAGAAAATGGTTGAGGTGCAAGGAGACATTGGTTCTTGTTCTGCGTGATTCATGTCCATCTCATCAGAAAGCAGCAGCTGAGTAACTCGATTTTGTTGTTTGCAATCTTAAGGGGGCATCCCTTGAGTTTCCAGCAGGAGAGTGCGTTTACGACATCAACGAATTGCTAATGAGCATTGAATGTCCGAGAAAACAAAGCCATTTCATGGTTCCCTGTCCGCTGTCCTTGCAAGAGGCACATCCTGCAACAGAACTATGGTGGATGAAAGGTATAATGACAGCTGACATTACTCTCATATCACGGCACGTAGTAGGCTGAGGAATCTCCACCGGAGAAGCTGTACAGTGGTCAGTGGAAGGAAGGGTCGTCTTCGGTCTGACAAAAGTTTTGTTCCTACATTTTTGTTTTTACACTACAAAATTTCTGATTTCTTGTTTTTCCTGTTGCACCCGAGCTATTGTCATATTTGCTCGTCGGTTTGAAGGTGAAGGAGGGCATGCGACGAAAAGCTTTTCCGTAGCAGGGAATCTTCCCCGGTTGCTTGACTTTGGCTGTTTTCCCGTTTCATATCGGTATGCCCCACCTTGACGGCAGTTTCATGAGGGGAAGCTCGAAAAGTTCTTGGGGAAACGGTAGGTATCTGGGATATTGCCCAAAGAGGGGAGTTAGCATGGAAAAGGAAGGTTGTATCAGAGAAAATATCTAGAGGTCGTATTTTGCAAAAATTTTTCCTAGAGTTGGAGCGCCCTATTCACATCCTTGAAAAGAAAAACATTAAAGGCAGTTGGCACGATGATTTGGTGCTCGGCTTAAAATGCTAGTAGGGCGCTATATAGTGGGGAAATGGCGAAAGAACGGAGTGAAACGGTCAAAATCCTGCGAAGAAAGAGCCTCCGTTCTCAATGTGTTCAAAATCAATTTTGGACGAGTTTCCCATAGGCATCTCGAGCGTCAGGAACGGTCGTCCATTTGTGGGCGGGCGGGCGTGGCGGGCGTTTGGGTCGGAATGTTGTGGCTTGATAGGGCCCTTATAAGGGCACCTTCCTTGGAAAAGGCATTATGCAGCGCCTGCTCAGGGTCGCGGAATTCCGTCCTGCCAGGCGTATTAATCCTACTCGTCTTGGGGATTTATCGTGCCAACTGCCTTTGAGTGAACCTTCACTTGAGGTAATCAAAGATTCTCCCACAGTAAGGCTGCCCACCTCCTATGCTGGGCTTACAGCGAAAGAAACTGAAAACTGGCCCGGACAGCCTCTTAGGGTTGTTGGGAGCTCTAGACATTTGGAAGTTTCAAGGGTTTTTAGGCACATTCCGCGATCAATCACATGAAACATTCTCCTACAAAGATAATGTAGACTGGTCCACAAGTGCAGAAACTGTGCTCATTTTGCTAATCGGAGCTGAGAAATGAATGCGTTGGGCTCGCCAGTCTGGCCCTTCTTACTCGGCATGGCTTCGCTCTGGAACGAGCGTGATCGCTGAACGCGTAAGTGACATCTGACTCTCTCTGTCGTCTCGCTCCCGGGTCTTCATCGAATTTCTTGAAATGTGAAAGACTTTTTTGGGGCGATTCTTCACTACCGGTGGATAGAAATGCAAGAAGGGAAACCAAGAACTCCCAGAGCAAGACCCTGAACTCCTTGTTCCATGCCAGGAAATTGGCGCGAACTGTTGCATCAGTCCATTCGATCATTGAACTCATACTGAATTAGCGCCAAAACAAAGCAGCTAACGAATCGGATTATTCTGAATTCCGTATGCTAATTCCTTCTCAAGAACGTGTGCAAGGCAAGCAGAATACCAAATTGTGACTACGGGCACTGCCAGTGAATGCCGAATACGCTAGTATTCCCAGGAACGCCGCATGCATCTAAAGGAGGCCGCAGGCAACGGCGCGCTAATTTACAGTTCCATGGAAATCATCCTCTATGGGCGGATACACGGACTCAGAAAGGAGCCAACGTCCCTTTCACGGCTCTCCTTTCTTGAACCTTCAAGTGACAAATCATGTACCATATCTGATACTGGGAGATGGCCACCAAATGCGCGGAAGGAGGGTAATGGGGTCACCTAAAGGTTGCCGCTCTGTTGCATTGTGGCTCCTAATCATCCTTTCCCACTGCATTCCTTTGGAGTGTTTCTGCCTATGAATCGTTTCCCGAGTGCTAAAGCTGCTTACTAATTTTCTGAGCTTTGACAATGACAACTCCAATTAGTCCAGGGTGTCGTTCTTAGTCCTCCCTAGATGGATTGTGCCTTCGCTCTCAGCATCTCTCACGTACCTCCTGCTTAAAATTTTAACTGGTGAATTTGAACTAAAGGTAACCAGAATCAATAGGAGAAAATCCATCTTCTGCTTGATGCGCCATGTTCCCTCTTCTTCTACAAATTACCAGACCCGAACATTTCTTTTTCATTTTCAACACTTTATTATGAAATTTGTGCTGAACGGAGAGGTACACCATCAAAATCATCACTCATCGGGTCCCCACCTTTAGCAAGGAACAGGTTATACAAAAATGCTAGACATTTTTGTCTTTCGTAATTCGTAAAAGCCATTTGTAAACTTTCTATGTCTACTCGCGAAATCTTGGGCGAATAGAAAAATCCTTCGATTTCATTTCTTGGCGAATGTAACCCCTTTATTCCTGCCATTAAATTTTATAGCTACCACGGAATTTCTGCTCAGAATTGGATCCACTCTAATCAGCGCTCATTTTCCGTGGGACTTCATGAGCGACATCCTTCCCATTCAATTTCGGCAAGACTTGCCGACTTTTGCTTGCGTACGGCAGAAATGCTTACATTATCAGTTTGCCATTCATTCCTTTTCATATTATGAAGAATCCTCCTTCAAAACCATCATTTGCCTTTATGCATTCATATGCTTTCACAAAACCCAATAATATCCAATAATTGCGGTCGTTTAGCTGCTGAAATTACTATGTAAATATGGCCCGTCCTATTAGAGTTGACACATGGATCGATCCTAATGCTGTACAACATTCGATTAATTTGCCAGTGGCTTTGTACCTTTGCTTCACCATGGCCAAATGAACGCGCCCATTTTCTACTTGTGCTCTGAAATTCTATTGCTTTTAACAAGGTCGCTATAGGCGAGCTTTCCTCTATTCTGTTCACAAATTTTGTTGTAATAATTCATAGTTACCCTATTGTCGTTCTATAAATCAATACACTATTCGCGGTCGTTTGAAAAATCTTTTCAAGTCAAACAGTTGCTCACCCTGAGAATTTCGTCCTTTATACTAGCGCGGGCGCAAGACTACATGGGGCTATTTCCTGATTGCATTGTTATATTTTAGGTACGCGAAGTACTCGAAAAAAATAACAAGTTTTGAATCATCTAAACCTGTACTGTCCAGAGACCCCATGAGTAAGGGAATGGTACGTGATGCTTCTGACAAAAGGATAAAGTTCGGAGGGATTCAAACCGTTTTTGAAATGTGTTACACGCTGAACTGCCATTCAGATTCAGAGTAGTATTCTGAATGCCATTTAGCCAATAGACAAGGAATTGCGGGGGTCGGTAGATGTACGAATCAGTTTCTAGCCCTCGCATGCAAGTCATCAGCTGCGACCCGTTGGGGACGGAGCTCGGCCTCTTTGGCCCTGACGAGAGCCAGTCCTGCATTTGATCCCCCACGAATTCAGGCGTGATAAGCAGCAGCATTGTCACTAGCCACAACACCGTCTTCTCATTCGGACTGGGACGCACCGTATGTACGTAGGTGATCCCCAGCGAGGTGAGCCCTGTTTAGTTGCCGGATGGAGAAGGACAGCGGGCGGCCTACCCCTAATATTACCCCTACCACGCTCAACGGCGTGTTTTCAAGAAAAAACTGAAAAATTCTGGGAATACTCCGGGAAGATGGTAGGAACTTGGGAGAATTTGGTATGACGGTAGATAGGCGTGGGGGGGGGGGGGGTGAGAGGGTAAAATTCGTATCATTGTTTTCTGCAAAAACTTTCCCTAACCGCCGCGCCCTATCTCGTATACTGAAGCACCTACGAAAGTAAAATTTCAGTGACTAGAGAGATGCGAAAAGTGAATTCCGCGCTTCTCCGCCTAGCTTTCCCCTTAGCTGTGGACCTCCAGAAGTGATACTGTTGCCTGAAAAAGATCCACGTAGTTGAACATGACAGCTATCGTTTTATATGATTGAAATCTGTAAGAAATGAACTCGAAGGATAAAAGATTCCAAGTGTTCGACTGACTCCAATTGTTTTCGCGCGAAGATAATAATATGTTGACTCACAAGAACTTACACAGAGTCCTTATTTAAAGAAGGGCGTTTCTACATGCACTCCAGAACCCTGAGATACGGTTGGCGTGGCTGCGTATACTCTAGTTCGCTGCGGACGGTTGGGCGTGTCAGGCAGTATGAGTGTGCACACCGTCAAAGCCGTTCTCTGCCTTCTTGTTGAAGCGCGCATGCGAAAGTGGTAGAAAACGAGTAATACGAACGATATGATACAGTCATATCACTTGCTCGCTTTAACAACTGGTGGAGAACGGGTTTGGCACCGCGCCAAACTCATCCCGCCTGACACGCCCAACCGTCCGCAGCGAACTACACTATACTTCATTTGGCGGTTACCGCGTCTTTGGCGAATCATTTCATTCTGCAATTTAATTCATTCTTCAACTGTGACCATGACTTTTTCCAACATAAAGCCAGATGACGGTCGTTCCAAATTGGAAAATCCCCAAATATTCCATCCTGCGCCCTGTTGAAATGACGTACGCAGCCACGCCCACGCGTCTCTGGGATATACAGTGTATGCGGTTGTGGGCACGTGGACGACCGCGGGAGTCCATATAGAAGAGAAGCATAGACTTATGTATGAAAAAATGTGTCCAGTAAGGGGATACGAGCTGTGGCCGTGGCTATGAAGTAGATGCTTGGGAACGCCCCTTGCTGATCTGCGGAGTCTGCGTTAATATTTACAGGAGCTCAAATTTCTGCAGGCGTTTGTAGCATAATTTACTAATCCAGTCAGTGTCTTGCTCGTCTTGTACGGGTCCACTTTGCACATTAGTTGGTACTTCAGTTACAAATTATTTCATGCAAGCTCCTAAGTGCGATGTACTACCTGCGGGTGCACCGCGAGCTGATTTTCCCCCACTATATCTCGGAAAAATAGCCGCGCTGTTTTCTGGAGCATCAGGCGCACCTTGGCCTCGAACGCCGTCAGTCATGTCTTATAATCACGAGCAGTCCCATGAGCAGCTAGATCCATGTCCTGATTTACTAAGAATTTCATCAGTAGAGTGTTGCATGTCAGATTATTACAGTGATTCTTTGGCACTTTGTTTCATGCCATTCTTCAAATTCGGGAAATAGTTGAGTAATGATATTCTTCTATTCCATTTAGGAGAGCGGAACGTACAAAGAAAGATATGATCAACCGTGAATAGGTCTAGAAACTTTCCGAACGCGTTTCGTGCGTGACTGAAACCTAATAATAGGGCGACTCAAAGGATAAAGGATGAAAGTCTTCGCCGTTGATCAATCCCTTTGTGGGATGCGGCACGCATTCTACTTCCATTCAGAATCGTAGTGAAGATAAGGTATTGGGGTAGAGAGGTGTCCCTCACGGCATTCTGCCTTCAGAAAAACAGGCAGGATACAGTGCTCCAAGCTGCGCGTGAAACTGAGCGCGTATGAGCACGAGTGCACACACCATCGCTCAATTTTCACCTAGGCAGCCCCTGGCCACCAACGGGATTAATGTCGCTATCGGTCCCTGACCTCACCCTAGAGCTTCCTGCCTTCCCTCCTTCCCTCGTCCCTCCGTGCGTAGTCCGGGTCAATGACGAGCGTACATTAGCCATGCTGTGCAGAATGCATATAATACAGCTAATACACTACGATAACCAGAACGGTTCTCTGTAATATATTACAGTAAAGTTATGGTAGCATTTTAATTTATTCTATAAAACATTTGGTTAACCATACGCTTGGTTATTAATTATTATTACACGGGGTCAGTAAGCCCACCTCTATGCATTCACGGAGCCGACACAGCTAATTCCACGCGCAATCGGGATACTGGATCCCGCCTGTTGCCTGGAAGTATGATCTTAAGAACTCCACAGCGCTTATAGCGCGGAAGTCTCCGTTGCATCGTGCAGTTCTGTCTACCAATGAGTTTGTTACTTCCGATTGCTGTCGGCACAAAAAGTGGGAGAGAAAAGGCTGAGTCACCCAAATGCAGGTTTCTGGGAAATGACACTTTGATAACAGCAGGCGACAATCGTCCACCTATTTGAACCACGTCAATATGACTCACGAATTCTCTTCTGTTATATGACTCTGAAAGTAAAGTTTATTATTTTAGTGTGGCTTCTTATCAGTTACGTTAATCGTCCTGTGCCACGGGATCCCAGATACGTCTACTTGATTGATTCTGTATAGACAAGTAGTTTAGAAGAGTGATTTAAAGGTGTAGGTCTACTTTCAAGCGGTTATTTCCTCACTCCGTGCGAGATATACGACTTTCATTTAGGCGCTTGCATTTTTGTCCCCCCCCCTGCTCCCCCATCTTTCCATATCTCCTTTTTGGTGACTACTAGGTCTTGAATCTCATGCACCTGAGAGAAATGGCGGCTTTTGAAATATTCCTGCAGCAATAATTTTGAAATGGGTTATGTGCCCTAGAAAGGACCCACCTCTGCATTCCTGATATAAATCTCTGCGATTAGAAAATCCTACATATTTGTTATGTCTCTCACAAAGAACTTGATAGCAGGGTGAGGGGATACCTAATTATTATTATTATTATTATTATTATTATTATTATTATTATTATTATTATTATTATTATTATTATTATTATTATTATTATTATTATTATTATTATTATTATTATTATTATTATTATTATTATTATTATTATTATTATTATTATTATTATTGCTATCATTAAAGCCTTGTTCGCTGCAGATGATGGGGTGTGTGAATGACGCAGCTTTTCGCGTCGCCGCCCGTTCTCCATCACACGGGTGGGCCATGACAATTGATGGAAAACGGCTAACTCGAACTATGTGACACAGCATTGTCGCTTGTCGAGAAAGCAAAAAGTAAGCAAAATATGGCTGGCACTGCGCCAAACTCATAACACCTTGACAGCCCATCCGCAGCGAGCAAGACTTTAGGGGGCTCTCTAACTTAGCTGTTTTTTTTGTGAACCCCCACGCGAGTAACTACTCTCACTTTGCCTACTCAATGACTTTGCCTTAACAAAAGCAGAAACGGTTTTTCAGCAGTCGCATCAATACGTTCTGTTACCGGAAACGTGGATGTTAGGTGGTATCGCGCTCATCGTCCTCGTTGTCGTGCTGTTCTTGTTCATTCTCAGGTACAGACATCAGGAAATTCCTCAGCCTTTTTGAGGTGTTCTGAAGTATATCGCCACTTTCGCTCCAGGCATTAGGGCTTGTCAGGGAGAAGAGGGGGGGGGGGTTGGGATTGGCGCAAGCACCAGCCCGTCTTCCACCAGTCGTTGCTGCTTCCTTGCTTCCTCTTCTCAACGCTTGGTGGAGAAGGGGCTGGCTCCTTGCTAAACTCAGTCCCCGGCAAACTCCACCGTAAACGACCGTATTTCGTTTTCCGTGAACAGAAAAAGTGAAAAATCAGTATCGGAAATAGGAAGCCACCTGAAGAGTAGGGAAACATTCACGAATTGGCTCACAAAGCACTATCAAAGATAGCCTCGTCAGCAGGGAAGTCAATTCCGTGTTCCAGATGTGCCGTTTATTGTATCCCCCGTTGCTTCGGCTACGAAGCCACAAGTCGAATCGAAGGACCCGGACATTCCCTAGGCATGTACTCGCTGGACCTGCAGGTAAAAATTTAACTACTTGTTATTGTGTGTTCGATTAGCTGATACGAATGAATTTCGTCCCAGGGGTTTTGGTGGCGCATCCGCGTCGTACTTGAGAACTGAAATCCTTTTCCGTGAATAAGGAGCACGCCTGCAACTTAGAATGTGCCGCTTTCGCACCAAAAACGTGCGTAGCAGGGGCTGTGTAAGAAACGCACTTCTGCAACCCAGGATGCGAGGCGCCGGAACCCTGCGATAGTCAGAAAACCAGCCATTTCCAGCTATCGATGTTTACAAACGTGCAACCGCCGGGATCAATTTTCTCATACTTTATCTGCCACTCTGCGGCCTCCACACGCGCTTCCACGCCGCAGAGACTTTTAGAGAAGCAGCGAAGTCTAGTCTACCACTGAGAGTCTCTGCGTCTCTCGGCAATGCCGTCCGATTACAACGTACAGTTGGAATGCGGGCGGCTGGTTGTTCAGCAACAACCCTCCATCACTAGTTCATTTACGATACCGTCACCCATAAGACCAGTTACCTACGTGACCTCACCCCTCCCTGCCTACTATTAGCTCGCCAACCTGCGGTTTACTCGCCTGGGAGGGTAGATATTCGCTCTTCAGACCATTCCCTACGACTGAAATACGCCATCTTCCAAGCGACTTGAATATTACCGGCGCAACGTCGAGAATCAGTCGCTCCGAATTTGTAGACCTTTTTAAAATTCCCTCAGCTCATCTCTCCATACACTACATACATATTCCTGAGAAACAGAGGCCGTAACTGCGTACTTTCCTCAGACATGGAACAGGATTTGTTCTTCCTGGGATATCTCCATTTGGGACAACTGTGAGCCTGTCTTCTGCTGGACAGGAACATCATCACAATTATCCGAAACAGCTATAGTATCCCACCAAAAGCACAGCCACCGCCACATCCAGATGAGCTGTGTCACGACTTGGGATCACGCAACGTGTCCTCGAGCACTCCTATATAGATTAAAAATCTCTAAGTTAAAAAATCCAGAAGTCTAAAAATATGATCCCTCTTTCAGAACACAACCAAAAACCAGGGATACGCAAATGTGGGCTATATACATCGAGAATCAGTAACTAATGCATGAGCTTTACACAACGGTGATTTCTCGTTTCTAGCGGCTGTTTTTTTAAATGTTATTGTCCATGTATGTAGGTATTTTACCGTATGCCTTTACCTCCATTCTTCCATTGTACATATGCATCCATTTACCAGTTCTCCAAAGAAACGGGTCCGGTTGGAATAGTTGTTCGTATGTTATTTTCATCTCATAACGTTCTTCTAGTCATTAATTGTCTGAATTTCAGTATTAAAGGCAGTCGTTATTCCTGCAAGCAAGAGGCTGCATTAAAAGGCATAGATTGGAGTACAGCCAACTCTGCCTTTCGCCACAATTAATGCATTCTGAGCCGGCAAGAATTGGTGGCGAAAACTGACGTGACTGCACTCCAAGTCACGCCCTTTCACACGCCCTCTTGTCTGCAGGGATCATGAATGTATTGCAATGCATTGTTTTCTCAGGAAACTGTAGCCTAACTGAATAAAGACTACTGCTATTTGTTTTTTGCGCAGTTTTGAGATCTGCTATCCACTTTATTAATGTACTCACAATCAGACGCGAAACTGGTGCAGCAGCAATTGACACTGCCAACAGGGGCGCGGTTTAGAGGGCCGCTCCTTGAGAAGGGAATAAAAATGCGGGACTATGGCAATCAATGTGGGTACTATCAACCGCTACATATACCCATTATTCGGAATTCAGGACAGAATTTCGACTGAAATTTTTCTGTTGCGTAGATTCAGCCAAAGCGTTTATTCCCAGAGTTAGTTTGATGTCCGAACAGGTAATGTCACATTAGTTCGCAGCAAAAGTAACTAATGTCCCGCACCATGAGCACCAGCACTTCAGCTACTTAAAACATTTGTCCATAAAACACGTACCAATTTTTTCATGACAAGCTGATGAGACATGCGTGTTTAGGAGCCTGGAAGATCCCTGGGTCCACGTTCCCGACAATTTGCGAGTTTCGAGGTGTTTTAGCTCCCACGGAGGGTCCCTTTGCTTTGACAGAGCGAGGACATCTTATTATTGTTCAGAAGGTCAAGATACCCATGTCAACGAGATTCTAGACAATAACCCATGTCAAAGAGATTTTCGACAATTCTCCTAACTGGGAAAAATCCGTTTAGAGATTTGCACAAGAATTTCCGGTGAGCGGGGCAGAGGTGCCCGAATGTTTACTCCTATTTTTTATGTTTTAGCAAAATTTTTCTGTCTATGGAACTAACTGCTATCTGCTCTTCGAAGCTTTAGCTTTAAAGACACATGGTACGATCACACATAGATTAGATGTGCGTGACTATCGGCCCTTCAGCCGTCGAAGCGTAGCGGTAGCGGTTTCACCGTCCTAGCATGCGCAGGAATGGAGATACAGGACCGTGGAACACGCTAACTGCCTCATGTCCGCAAAATGACTTTTGCGGCGCGGCCTACCGTTTTATCGGCTGACGGCCGTCCGCGCTGCACGTATCGCGCGCGCAGCGCTCTTGGCGCATTGCCAAGTCCTGTAATTGCGCTTTGGAATACAAGTAACGCAATTTCCTGATGCGGATGAACATTTGAGGTGCTGCAAAATAAGAACCGAAGATGATAAGAGGGCTAGAGTGCTGCTTCTGCAGTATCCCTCGGAGACCGCGCATTCCCGCAAAACATGAAAATAAAAGTGGCCTAGGCGTCCCACTCGTTAGTTTGAAGTATTTTTATGGTTTTGGAGCTGGAATCGCGCCGAATTGCAGAAATTTACACGCGTTTTTATGACTGTGCATTTCCTTAAATTTTTCATTTTTGTTTTATCACAGCTATTAGGTCATCCCATTCAAACGTGCCGCTACATATAGAGGAATGGCAGAAAAGCAAAGGGGATAGAGCAGCGGGCTACTATACCATTTGGAAGCTAGTACCTTAAGCTGTGTATCTGTGAAATTTGGCGAACCTAGCCCCAGAAGAAGTTCTCGAGAAATTGAAAAGAAGCCCGAGTGGTGAAAATCGGCGCCGGTTTTTCAAATCAGACGTCATAACAGGAAAGTGCGCTGCTCAATTTCGAGTGGCACCGGACCAGTAGTTGTGTATAATGGTGTTCTTGAAGTACAAGGTGAAAGTTTGGTTCAGGAGCCCGAAGAAGGAAGAGAGGAAAAAAATTTGTTGTTCTGGATGGTCCCATAATGTTTATCTTGTTTTATCTTGCACAAGAAAACGGTGAATGAAGTCAAGTGCTGAATGTCTGACTCCAGAGCCTGGACCTTTGTCGAGGTTTCCCTGCGAGACTGACATCCCTGCTGCAATTACTGTACGTGTTATGACCGATAAACTGAGGATGGTCAAGGGGGTGTGCGCATGGGTACCCAATTTTCTTATAGAAGCACGAACGCAGTACCGATTCTATACCTCTAGCAGTAATGTTCTCAGCATGAGATGTCACTCACAACTGTGAAAACGCACCCCGGCCTAGATGAAATATGGGTGGTCTTGGACCTCGAGCCAAAACTCACAATCGTCAATTTTGTATGAATGCAGATGAGAAGCCGCCCGAGTTCTACCATGAGGAGTTACGTGGGCGCAAGTGGATGATCATCATAGCGAAGGATTCCCACACTGTGGCTTTCAAGCGGCTCTATACAGAGAACAAATCCGTCACTGTCGGTGCATATTGCCTGTTCCTCGGCATTCAGATCGACAAATGGATGCTACCACACAACTACAAGAAGGCCACCGTTGCTCGTCATAGTACCAGACCCCGAGTAACTGTATTGTAGGGCAGTGCTGGGACACAAACAATACTGAGACCTGGGTTCAATCGCCCCATTCGCTCAACATAAAGCCGTTCGATTCCAACTGATCTGGTTAGTCGAGGGTACTCTCTGACGGCAAACGCTACAATGCTTTGTCATTTGCCGAAACTGGCATCAACAGCAACTTACCCACACTTGTTGAAAAATGGAAGGTACCAGAGGTCCAAAGGCTTTCGGGGCACTGGGAGCGGGTCATTGGTGAAGGGAGGATTTATTTGACCTAAGGCTAAAATATTACTTTTTTATCTATTCTCCTCTTTGTTTTATTCAAATAAAACCGGCGGCACGTTTGAATGGGATGACCTAATACATTCGTTGTTCTTCATTTCTAGCCTTTGTCATCTTCATCACCTTCTATTCGGACTTTGCAGCATGAGCAACACCTCAAATGTTATCCGCATCAGGAAATTGCGTTTTACTTGTATTCCAAAGCGCAATTACAGGACTTGGCGAAAGTGCAAGAGCGCTGACGCGCGACACGTGCCCCGCCTCAGCCTCTTGCACTTTGCCAAAGCCCGTCCAGAGTCTGCCCCCGACAAGTTGCATTTCAAAATCCCATCATAGGAAGTTGGCGAGTGTCACGTTGCGCGCCGTTGGCGCGGTACCGAAGTCGTTCTGCACCAATTGTTGAAGCGGGCAAGTTGACATTACTGTATTATATCCTTCGTATTACTCGTTTTCTACCACTTTTTGTCGCATACGCGTTTCAACAAAAAGGCTGAGAACGGCTTCAACAGTGTGCGCACTCCTACTGGCTGACACGCCCCGACAGTCCGTAATGATGAGGACAGTAAACGGAGCATAGAGGAAGTAGCGTGTCTCATAGTCCTTGATCCCCATTCCTGCGCACGTTCGGAATGCGCAGGGAATCCGCTACACTTCGACGGCTCGGGGAGAGGGGGGAGGAGGGCTGATAGTCACGCACACTCAAACTATGTGTGACCCTACCATGTGTCTTTAATCCATAAGACGATGATTACAAGGTCAGCCCCCCCCCCTTACGGTGGCGCAGCAGGTCTCCCGGTCAGGTCATTCGGCCAAAATTGCTTTTTTCCCCTGCAAGCTAATTTTCCATAAGAGTGGGAAAACTATGAGGGATTCATCAATAGCCCTATAAGTTCCTCACTTCGACATCGCCGTATAACCTTCTAAGAACTATTTTCGGAAAGTTGCAACATTTATGAGTTACATTTAGAAATTTATTTAGTCCAGATGTACTCGTTGAAATGCAACGGTTAATAAATGTAGTTAAGTAGGACGGTACTAAGTTAACAGAGCAGAATTGTTGAAAATTTTTGCCGTCCCCACGGTGAGATATAACCGCTTGCGGGTCCATGGTGACCTGACCTATCGGGAGACTTGCACGGCTCCCCCTCCTTACTAGTGGGAAACTGAGCGTCATCGCTTTTGTGGCGCAACCTTGTCTCCTCATTCGTAAGTTGTATTGTATATAAAAGTGATTAATGCGTCAAAATATTTGTGCAGACTATCGTCTTATCAGGAAGCGTGCCAGCAAATGAACAGCTCCTCTGCGTCATCTTTGCTTTTCTAACCGCTAACACGTCCATCGCCCTTTGTAGGTTTTATCCTTTGTACACTCAAGTAGTTCTTACACAAGTTTTGGAAGTAAGTAAGCGACCTAGCTTATCACTATATTTCTTCATCGGCCCTTCATAATTAGGTTCATAAGG